TGACGGCTAATAAGCCAGAACTGGCCATTCCAGACTTCCTTGTCTTTGTCGGTAATTTTTTAACTCCCACATATACAAACATTGACACGGTAAGTGATGCCTGACGTGCCCGTGGCTACTAATCGAACCTTGGGTTGCTTGACTTAGCGGCGGGTAGTGTCCTCCGGCCAGTGTCTAACCCCTAAGTTTAGGGGTCCGAGAACGCCTTTAGTGGCTTGCTGGACATCCTTCACGTAGGATAAGACATGGAAGACTTCAGGCTTTTGTTTCTGTTTACCCTCGGTCTTCATGCGCCTTTGATATAAAGCATTGTTTACGAAGATTCAGGGATATCCACTGGTGAGGAGAAGTTGCCATCGAGTTTTACGTTCTGGTGACTGTTAAATTTCTATGCTGCAGTGTGTCTGAATGAATCGGAAGAGCGTTCGAACACCACTGAATTTATTCAACAGGGAAGGATTAATATTGTAGCGAAAACGTTTCTCTTTGTTTGTCCCTTATCAAAACATGCTAGTCTGGAAGGTTCAATCCTTCTGCCTCGATAGCTGGACATAGAGAAAGGGGAGCACTGTGTCCTTTTAATCCTCTATTGTGACGTTAATCTACACTTAAATCAAGTTTAGTTCCTTCTCAACGTTCTCTCTAACGTCACAGTTTAGGACGACAGGGGTGTCGTCTATGTAACGCAATTCGACGTTCCGCTGTTAGGACTGAAAGACCTCGGCTTCCAGTTCTTGCAAACCTGCCCTCACCGGGGAGCCAGACATCGGTAATCACATTTAGGCTTCTGGAGTTGCCCATAAATGCAACCCTAAGTTGTGAATTAAGTGCGCGGGCAGTAATACAGGGGCTCCATCGCATGCTTCCTTTTAAAAGACTCCCCTTTTCGCCATAACTTATGTCGAGTAGGTCATTGAGGACTCTCGTGGCCAATTCTTTAGGACTAGAGGTGAATTGGGAGAAGGCGTCCAAGGATACCACTATCCCGCCGGGGCTAGTGTGACGCCTCAGAATTTGTTTCCAGAAAGTGCATTGTCAGCTTCTTCGAAGACTTACTATACCATTTAGCTCCTCTGTAGGTCGACGCGCCTTTCACTGTCAAGACGGGCTGTAGGGAAATATTTGGCTTGCCGATTTGTAATAAACCATAGAAATGCGCTATGGCGGCCTTCTGCAGATTCATCTGTCTCCAAGCATTTACAGCTAGTGCTTTAGTTCCTCATTTTGTTCAAGCCCCAATTAATTTTTTTCCTTCCACTTTCGTGGGATCAAATTTTACGACCTTATATGAAGTGGCTGTCCTTTGGTAGCTGGTGACTTTTTATTTGCGTGGTGGCCACCTCTTAATAGGACAGTATTAGCTAAAACTTCTCGCAATTTCCCTAGCTATCAATGCTCTGCCAGCGTCAGAGGATACCGAAGCGGAGTCAGATGCTTTGCAAGTAGAAGAAGAGGAGGTGAGTTCGAACGGGACAGAAAGTCTGCAGAAACGGGTCATCGGTGGTGAGCTAGCTCGAGAAGCACAGTTCCCCTACGCAGTTTCCCTCAAGGGTGACTTCCCCTACACGCGGCGTAGTACTTACTGTGGTGCGACCGTAATTGACAGTCAATGGCTCCTGACTGCAGCACACTGCTTCGGTGGCGATACCCTCGCCGGTGACACGTACGTTTGATGTTCACTGCTTTTAGAGAATTTTGTCATTTTTGCCCACTTTGTGCCCCTAAAACTTGCACATGCTGCCCTTTAAGCATGGATGCGAAGATTCGTGTTCCAGGTGTTTGCATGAGTAAATGAGAAGCTTGGCCAAGCGCCGGAGCAGTTTGTTTATTATTCTGAGCTTTTAAACTCCCGTAGGATATTCTAGTCAGAGATACCAGTGGCAACGGAAAAAGCCACGCTTATCGGTAGGTACAAGCCAATTAGTAATCAATGACGCCAGTCTGGAGGGGGACTGCGCAGGGCTACGTATGCCAGCGCAGCTATATTGATTGAGTCTCGGTGATGAACGTTCACCTGACCGCTAACGGGACTCATCTGTCCCTCTCTGCCTTGGGTGTTGTCAGAGGCTCTGATAGCCGTAACAGCAGGAAGTATAGGCAGTTAGTATTGACGGCTAAGACAAGAAAGACTGGAATGGCTTATTAGCCGTCTTCAGCCAGCCATACCCAGACCCGAGTGGTGTCCAACTCTTTAGCGTGAGTAGTAATCTGACAGTTAGTGGTCAGGTGAACGTTCAGCAACAAGTGTCAATATCCCCTGATCTAAACTGGCTAAACAACGGGCTCGTGACTCAATGGTTAGGCCGTTTGACTCTGATCAATAAGGTCGCGAGTTCGAGGCTCCAGTGGAGCACCTCTTGGGTCTGGGTATGACTAGCTGACGACGGCTAACAAGCCAGAAGTGACCATTCCAGTCTCCCTTGTCTTTGCCGGAAATACTAGCCGATTGATTGAGTTCCCATCCGAGGTCCAAGCTTCAAGCAATTTTCGGCCTGTCCTATTTTCGGTATGGACGATTATCTTGACCTGATGATTTTGAATTTATGACCCGCTCCTTAGGTGTGAGCAGTAACTTGCGATGCTTCATCGTCACATCGTACGACCAGCTCATGGATAATAACCAAATTGTTTCGGTGCTCGACTAGTTTTTCTCTTTACTCATGCAGTTATCTCCCCTGTTAGGTCATTCCGACACATTTTTCTAACAGTTTTCTCAATTAGAAAATCTAGTGAACCGCGCGGTCAGTCCAGAGTGACAGACTGGCGGACCGGCAGTCAAGCTGCACTAGTTCCTCCTTAATGTGGCCTTTATGACACTTCTACTCAGCTGGGATCCGAGCCAGCTGTGGCAGCACGCTTAGGAACGGCTCTGGCCGCGCCAGCCGCCTGCGCCCTATCCCGCCTCTGGCCATCTTGACTTGGTCATAACACCGGGCAAAGATAAGGAAGGAGGGGGAGAGAACGGTAGACACAGCGCAAGTCTACTACCACTATAATATAATTGACGCGTAATTCACCGTCCTTGACCAACTTATATGTGGAGCGTACAATGGATGTGACGGTCCAGTTGACGATGCGCAACACAAAGAGTTCCAAAAGCACAACAGAAAGTGCCGGAACCAGTACGACGCAGATTGAAGTGACTCT